CTGATTCACACACTAAATAGATGGCCTATATCGCTCTACTGAATTATTACCAAAATGAAGTATCGAACTCAGCGCCACATTGTGATGCTTCGACACCTATCGAAAATCACTTTTCCCTTCACTGTGAAACCATTGCATAGTACCGAGGTTATTTCTGAATCCCAAGCTTTGGATTCGGTGTTGTTAGGGAGCATTGGCTGTGCTGTTGACAGTTCTGCCATTGTCAGCGTTAAAGACCGAGTCAGGAACCACCCCCTACCTGTTCTCGTGGTCTTAAGAATAGTTCACAACCGTAACGACACCACAAAAAATCTGTCCCGATGAATAAGAAAGTCCTTAATTCGTCCTCACAACTTGAAGAACATAAGGAGGTTTGACGAAAGCAGCAAGGAAGAAGAAAGAACCTGTTTAGATTACCGGGGAAAAGCATAAGGCGAAAACGAATTAACTTTCCCTATATGCTTCTTTTGTAAACAACAGGCACATAAGGCCTGTATTGCTTACATGAATTTTTAAGCAATATAATAAATATGTCTTATTTTGAAGTCTGTTTCTAAGTAAATAAGGGAGACAAAACACGTTCTTTTATAACGTTTCATTTCCTGGTCCCAATGATACCTCACAGCAAATTTGCTTGAAATACAATCCAACGGTCAAGAGATTCAAACTTAAAACAAAAAACAAAAACCCCACCCAATCCCCCATTCCGGGCATTGTATATCAATCATCAATATGGTAGCTGCAATTTTCGCTCATGTATATATAGTTGATTTCAAGTTCTCAAGGTCCAAACATGCTTTAAAACATCAAAACCTGCTTGCGATCCATACGCACATGAGTATTTGATTAAAGGGGTAGTTATCCTTAGACTAAGTACCCAAAGGTGAGGCCAGACACCTTGGTCAAAATTTAATAGCATTGGAGAGCATGAGTCCATTGGCCCAATGATGCTATAGACCAAATGTTGATATCTCTTTATCTGCACTGAATTAGGAAGATTTGAAAGATTTACATGTATTTCCCCACAGGGCGTTTCCCCCTGTCCCAAGCGGCCACACTACCCCTGTGAGCCCCCTTGGGTCTAAGGAAGCTCTATATCGAATTTGGTTAAAATGCTTCATTTGTTCGGAGGGAGGATTTTAGAGATTTCTTTTAATTCTTCTATTTAGCCTGCTACTCTACGCTAAGGAGAAGCGTGGGTGATGGGGAAACTTCTGCTTTAAACAATGTCGAGTTCCTTTGACCGAATGATGATCCAGATTAAATTTGGTAAAATACATTTATTCCCCAAGAAGAAGGATTTTAAAGATAAATCTCTATTTTCATGATTGAGTTCCGTTTGTCTGCCGAAGAAGGCGCACACCTTTTATTTTTTAAATTGTTTACAACACTGAGTTATCTTGTCCCAAAGATGCTCCAGACCAACTAAAACCAGCTAAAAGACTTTTTAAATTTCAGGATGTTTGCTTTTGTTGTGTTAAAGACATATATTTAGCTAATATCAACCGGTTAACGTTTAAAGTGGCATACCTCTTACTGTAAGTGTGATGTTGTTTGTTGATGAATATCAGTTATAAGTATATTCTATTACCACATTAAGTACAAACTTTTATTCTGTTACTCCAATGCTTTTCTCTAATCTGTTTTGTTTGTTTAATTGTCCCAATAAAGGCACATGATGAGCAAATAAATCATCTTGTATGCACAGAGTAACCCCGGCTCAAATCACTATTTCACAATCTAATTTGATGTCTGAATAAATCAAACACGTTAAATATTGCATTTTATACTTCCTATTAACAGGACTGTAAGGATGAAAAATGTTATTTCCTGATACGGATATTTTGAAACAGGAATGTCAAACTCGCGACTGGTGACATGCCGACTGAGCTACATTGATCCGGTGCTGACAGCTATGCTAGTCCAGACGGGACCTGAACTTCTTTGATGTATCATAACGCTTTCACATTTACAAAGGTGAGCGCATAACCACGCTGGAGATCAACGTTTGTGATTGTACATATTCAATTTGGTAATAGATACAAAATGAAACAAAATGAATCATAAGGCATCATACAGCTATTTTGTCCATCTAGAATTCATCGGTTTTACTGTAAGACAAAAAGGTGGAAATCTAAATTGGTCTTTACTGTTGAAACAGAAGGGGAATTCTGTAAAACTACATTTATAACAATGTGGGATATCATTATTGAATAGAACAAAACTACAATTCGATAGGTATGATTCAATTTCAAAATAAAATCAGGTCAATTGTGACATTTAAAATCTGACAACTCAATACCTGTGTTGGTATATTTGTTTTTATGTGGAAATGATAGCATTGTTTGATGGTGACCACATTCGCTTTCTTCCACAATATTTACGCATAAAATTAATAAGGATTTTAATGTAGGTTACGGATGCTGATGTGGAAACCTGAAAGAAGAAATTCCAGAGTAGAAAGCAAATTTAGGATTTTTTGGAACAGTGTCATCATACAAAGACAAAACCCGTACTCAGAATAGGTACGAAAAAAACCAACAGGAAGTAAGGAGGCATCAAAACAAAAGGAAAGGCATCATGAACGCCAACCCCGGAGGTGTTTTCTGCACTACATGCGGCCCCTGTCGTTGTGGCCCCGTCCAATTCCAGGAAGGTATCTAACAGATAAGGTTTCCAATAATGGTAGGCAATGAAATGGCATGAAATCAGGTTCAGATGATCGCTGAATATTATTTCAAATTTACATGTTTTTATATTAAAGCTCCTCAGGCAGAATTGTACTGTAATGGTCTGTTGCTATGTCTGTTGGTATGTCACACTGTTATAAACACTACTGTCTTGCAACATTATGAATATGGGGCCTGCGTGTGAAATCCTATTTACAATGAACAATTTTATCAAACGTAATGGGAAGAGCGAAGAAACATATAACGGAAATAAATGACATCAAACATGAAAATAAACTGAGAATTCCTGAGGATTCTAAAATTACCAACACAGGAACAGGAGGAGACCGAGAGAAGATTTCGTCAAAGTAAAGTAAAGCATTGGGGTTGTTTCGTACCAAATATATTTAAAAAACAATATAGCACAGTATTTCACTTTAAAAAGACGCGGAGTAAGCTTGGTGAAATATTTTTTCAATGAGCGGATCGTCAACAATTGGACCTCTCCTCAGATACCGTCCTTTCGTCACCAATAATCAAAACATGAAATAGTCCTATTACGTTTTATGACCATGGTATTGACAATAACGAGCTCATTCATAGACGGGATATCAGCATAGAGACTGATGCTCAATGTTAACATATTGGTAAACTGCCTGCGTCCAGTATAATAATTATCCACACAGAATTGACTGTGACCAAAACCTGCTGTCTGGAGACTTGTATGTTACTACCACAGAAAGATTTGAAACTATCTTTGGTAGGCTAACCGCTACACACGTAATACGGAGGTTAAATACAAATTAAGGTTATCATACTTTATTCTTCACAAAATTGCACTGAAATGGACAAAACAAGGGCGCCCAAAGACAACATGGAGACATCACATAGGAATTGAAAAAGATGGGGCTTTCATTGGGCGAGGTACAACACGCTGCCAAAGACAGATACAAACAGAGACGCATTGTTGATACATTATGTCCCTTTCGGAACGTAGATGATATACTTTATTTGACAGATATGACTGTTAACCAAAGTAACATAGCAGGTAGACTATTGGGCATGGATGTTTTGTGGTCATGCAATTAATGCGTAGTACGTTAGGTAGGAGTCTATTAATCCTGCTCCGCCCAGCCAGCATCCTCGATAGCAAGGGGGTTACGTCATCCTCGATAGCCAGGGGGTTACGTCATTCTCGCTAGCCAGGGGTTACGTCATCCTCGCTAGCCAGGGGTTACGTCATCTTCGATAGCCAGGGGGTTACGTCATCCTCGATAGCCAGGGGTTACGTCATTCTCGCTAGCCAGGGGTTACGTCACCCTCGATAGCCAGGGGTTACGTCAACCTCGATAGCCAGGGGGTTACGTCATTTTCGCTAGCCAGGGGTTACGTCATCCTCGCTAGCCAGGGGCTACGTCACCCTCGATAGCCAGGGGTTTACGTCATTCTCGCTAGCCAGGGGTTTCGTCACCCTCGATAGCCAGGGGGTTAGGTCATTCTCGCTAGCCAGGGGTTACGGCATCCTCGCTAGCCAGGGGTTACGTCACCCTCGCTAGCCAGGGGTTACGTCATCTTCGATAGCCGGGGGGTTACGTCATCCTCGATAGCCCGGGGTTACGTCATCCTCGATAGCCAGGGGGTGACGTCATCCTCGATAGCCAGGGGGTTCCGTCATTCTCGCTAGCCAGGGGTTAGGTCATCCTCGCTAGCCAGGGGTTACCTCCCCCTCGATAGCCAGGGGTTTACGTCATCCTCGATAGCCAGGGGTTACGCGCACTTTCGCTCTCTACACCCCTGGAATATATATGTCATAGCAAAATTGAAGGCACGAAGACAGCTGTTTGATTGGTTTCAGGTAAAAAAAAACCTGACCAGTCGCTCGGCTGATACCTGTCCTTTAAAGATTACAAAGGAGAGACGCTTGACTTCAAAGCCTGTCAATTTTTACCGTTACGTGACCGCGAGATTCTTTTGATGTACATCAAAGGTTATAATTAGTCTTCTTGTCTCATCAAGAAGGTGGCGCACACTGAGTCTTCAATTTTGCTATGACATATTCCTGGGGTGCAGAGAGCGAAAGTGAGCGTAACCCCTAGGTATCGAGGATGCCCTGCCAGACAACCACAACATTCATTAAACTACGTGTAGATAAATGTAAACTAAAAATTCTTCAACATTCATAGAGAAATTTTGATAAATAAGTCAAACCGTGGAAAACACACACATATTTTTACAACTCCTTACTGATATCAGTATTTCTACAGACTTAAAAAATATCCTGCTATGATAAATGTAATTGTAATATTTACACAAACGAAAACCAAAGACATCAATTTTGTTGGTTTTTATTTCAATGTACCTCTGAAGCGCATCATACAGTAACAAGTATCAAAAATAGGCTTTCTGGGTTGATTTGTGATAAATAATAAATAACACTTCACGCTAGGGTATCGCTCATATACGTTGTTTACACAAGATACACAGTTTTTGTTACATTCTAGTATGTTAGGTTTGTTTTCTCATGTGAAAGTTAAAATTCTTTTGCCAATATGATCTATGTAAAGTAGGAGTTATCAGTTTTGTACCATTTCGGTTTTTTTCTAAATCTTAAGGAAACATTAACAAACATTCTATCAAGTAACACTTAATGTGTTAATAGATTTATGACATCAGTGAAAATATAGCAAATTCCCTAATAACCATGGAAGAATTTAACAACAAATCAAATTTTAATAATTCACACACTTATATACAGCCAAGCCGTATTAATGCAGTTACCTTTGTCTCAAGCTAAATGTGGCTGGATTATAATCAGCTCGAATATATGGACAATTTAAAAAGAAAAAGAAGAATTAGATGTCTCCTAAACTGGTGAATAGTGCGACAACCGGATTGAATGCTTTACATGGATTGAAATGCTTCGTCTTATCATTTACGAAGGTATGCAACACAAACCTGCTCAAATTTTAAGGTTTATATTTTCAACAGAACTCTATTGCATATCATCATAATGTTGAAATGAAGCATTTCAATCCATTTATGATTTTTTTTCAGTCTTTAACCCTTTCGCCACTGTCGATCTTAACGGACCCGTCCCAACCAATGCATGGTAGAGTCTACTAAAGTTACATAGGAGTGAAAGGGTTAATCGTAATAATCATGAGTGAAGAAGACCTGTTGAGATTCCCACATTGTTATAAGTAGATGTTACTGTGTATCTAACGTGACGTCATTAAAATGGATTTTGTTTTTGTTTTTTAGATTATCGATAACATTTTGATAAATATCAAAAACAAAAGATGATTCACAAAATGAAAACTGTCTTTTGAATCACAAGAGATTTCATTTCTTAATGATGTATGTAGGAAGTTCCCTTACATAAATGTTTGCATTCACGCCCATTAGGATTTAACTTAGTATATACAACAGTATTTATACTTTATATATACCGAATGAGTTACAATACAATATTACACGTTAGGCAGAGGAAAATTAACTGAAAACAGCAACATCCTCCTCTATCAGAATCATTTTCAGGTAAATATTACCATTACAAAAACGTTGTTTTAGTTAGCAACGCCAACCACAGTTGAATTAAAATAGCGCATTCAATTAAAATATGAATTTGGGTTCATTAATCATGTTCAAGCGCTTGAGGCACTTAGCTCAACATAAGATAACACGCTTCGCTGCTGTTTTACAGAGAAATTTTACAATCACCAAAATTGTTTACAACATTAACGGGAATTGAATAAGGTCACATTTATGGAAATTGAATAGGGAACAACTTTTACAGGAATTATACAGGGAACCACATGAACGGAAATCGAAAGGGGCACACATTTGCGGGAATTAAATAGGTAACCACATTTATGGTAATTATATAGGGAACCACATTAACAGGAGTTAAACACTAGTAAAAATTACCACATTTATGGGAATTATATAGGGAACCACATTCACGGGAGTTACATACTAGTAAGTTACCACATTTATGGGAATTATATAGGGAACCACATTAACGGGAGTTAAATACTAGTAAGTTACCACATTTATGGGAATTATATAGGGAACCACATTAACGGGAGTTACATACTAGTAAGTTACCACATTTATGGGAATTATATAGGGAACCACATTAACGGGAGTTAAATACTAGTAAGTTACCACATTTATGGGAATTATATAGGGAACCACATTAACGGGAGTTAAATACTAGTAAGTTACCACATTTATGGGAATTATATAGGGAACCACATTAACGGGAGTTAAATACTAGTAAGTTACCACATTTATGGGAATTATATAGGGAACCACATTAACGGGAGTTAAATACTAGTAAGTTACCACATTTATGGGAATTATATAGGGAACCACATTAACGGGAGTTAAATACTAGTAAGTTACCACATTTATGGGAATTATATAGGGAACCACATTAACGGGAGTTAAATACTAGTAAGTTACCACATTTATGGGAATTATATAGGGAACCACATTAACGGGAGTTAAATACTAGTAAGTTACCACATTTATGGGAATTATATAGGGAACCACATTAACGGGAGTTAAATACTAGTAAGTTACCACATTTATGGGAATTATATAGGGAACCACATTAACGGGAGTTAAATACTAGTAAGTTACCACATTTATGGGAATTATATAGGGAACCACATTAACGGGAGTTAAATACTAGTAAGTTACCACATTTATGGGAATTATATAGGGAACCACATTAACGGGAGTTAAATACTAGTAAGTTACCACATTTATGGGAATTATATAGGGAACCACATTAACGGGAGTTAAATACTAGTAAGTTACCACATTTATGGGAATTATATAGGGAACCACATTAACGGGAGTTAAATACTAGTAAGTTACCACATTTATGGGAATTATATAGGGAACCACATTAACGGGAGTTAAATACTAGTAAGTTACCACATTTATGGGAATTATATAGGGAACCACATTAACGGGAGTTAAATACTAGTAAGTTACCACATTTATGGGAATTATATAGGGAACCACATTAACGGGAGTTAAATACTAGTAAGTTACCACATTTATGGGAATTATATAGGGAACCACATTAACGGGAGTTAAATACTAGTAAGTTACCACATTTATGGGAATTATATAGGGAACCACATTAACGGGAGTTAAATACTAGTAAGTTACCACATTTATGGGAATTATATAGGGAACCACATTAACGGGAGTTAAATACTAGTAAGTTACCACATTTATGGGAATTATATAGGGAACCACATTAACGGGAGTTAAATACTAGTAAGTTACCACATTTATGGGAATTATATAGGGAACCACATTAACGGGAGTTAAATACTAGTAAGTTACCACATTTATGGGAATTATATAGGGAACCACATTAACGGGAGTTAAATACTAGTAAGTTACCACATTTATGGGAATTATATAGGGAACCACATTAACGGGAGTTAAATACTAGTAAGTTACCACATTTATGGGAATTATATAGGGAACCACATTAACGGGAGTTAAATACTAGTAAGTTACCACATTTATGGGAATTATATAGGGAACCACATTAACGGGAGTTAAATACTAGTAAGTTACCACATTTATGGGAATTATATAGGGAACCACATTAACGGGAGTTAAATACTAGTAAGTTACCACATTTATGGGAATTATATAGGGAACCACATTAACGGGAGTTAAATACTAGTAAGTTACCACATTTATGGGAATTATATAGGGAACCACATTAACGGGAGTTAAATACTAGTAAGTTACCACATTTATGGGAATTATATAGGGAACCACATTAACGGGAGTTAAATACTAGTAAGTTACCACATTTATGGGAATTATATAGGGAACCACATTAACGGGAGTTAAATACTAGTAAGTTACCACATTTATGGGAATTATATAGGGAACCACATTAACGGGAGTTAAATACTAGTAAGTTACCACATTTATGGGAATTATATAGGGAACCACATTAACGGGAGTTAAATACTAGTAAGTTACCACATTTATGGGAATTATATAGGGAACCACATTAACGGGAGTTAAATACTAGTAAGTTACCACATTTATGGGAATTATATAGGGAACCACATTAACGGGAGTTAAATACTAGTAAGTTACCACATTTATGGGAATTATATAGGGAACCACATTAACGGGAGTTAAATACTAGTAAGTTACCACATTTATGGGAATTATATAGGGAACCACATTAACGGGAGTTAAATACTAGTAAGTTACCACATTTATGGGAATTATATAGGGAACCACATTAACGGGAGTTAAATACTAGTAAGTTACCACATTTATGGGAATTATATAGGGAACCACATTAACGGGAGTTAAATACTAGTAAGTTACCACATTTATGGGAATTATATAGGGAACCACATTAACGGGAGTTAAATACTAGTAAGTTACCACATTTATGGGAATTATATAGGGAACCACATTAACGGGAGTTAAATACTAGTAAGTTACCACATTTATGGGAATTATATAGGGAACCACATTAACGGGAGTTAAATACTAGTAAGTTACCACATTTATGGGAATTATATAGGGAACCACATTAACGGGAGTTAAATACTAGTAAGTTACCACATTTATGGGAATTATATAGGGAACCACATTAACGGGAGTTAAATACTAGTAAGTTACCACATTTATGGGAATTATATAGGGAACCACATTAACGGGAGTTAAATACTAGTAAGTTACCACATTTATGGGAATTATATAGGGAACCACATTAACGGGAGTTAAATACTAGTAAGTTACCACATTTATGGGAATTATATAGGGAACCACATTAACGGGAATTACATACTAATAAGTTACCACATTTATGGGAATTATATAAGGAACCACATTAACGGGAGTTAAATACTAGTAAGTAACCACATTTATGGGAATTATATAGGGAACCACATTAACGGGAATTACATACTAATAAGTTACCACATTTATGGGAATTATATAGGGAATCACATTAACGGGAGTTAAATACTAGTAAGTTACCACATTTATGGGAATTATATAGTGAACCACATTAACGGGAGTTAAATACTAGTAAGTTACCACATTTATGGGAATTATATAGTGAACCACATTAACGGGAGTTACATACTAGTAAGTTACCACATTTATGGGAATTATATAGGGAACCACATTTATGGGAGTTATATAGGGAACCACAGTTACGGGAATGATATCGGGAAATATGTTAACGGGATTGAATGGGCCAAAATTTACGGAAATTAAAGGGTCCACATTTAAGGGATTTATGTAGGGACCATATTAATGGGAATCATATAGGGTCATATTTCATTGATCAAAATTTACAACAAGAACATTGAGAAAATAATTTTGATTATTGATTTTTTTATGCTTTTGTATCGTGTAAAGAGTATGGCATTGCTAAGGGAAATTCATTATTATCAATAATACATTTTGGCGAATGGACTTTTGTGCATAAAAATATTTCTGATTAAATAATATTTAAAACAACTGATAACAACTGTGAACTTAGGAATAAAAAAATAATATTGTGGGTACATTTTAACCAATAACATTAAGCACAATACACAGAAAATACATGCTTTATCTTGTGGAGATGGTGCTTTTGCGAGACAGGTAGACAGTGTACGATCAAATTTGTATGTGTGTACATTTACATTCATATACCACTGTTCCTGATACTATGAAACAAATGTCACTTATACGAAGAAACAACTGTTACTAATACAGAGAAACAACTGTTGCTTATACAGAGAAACAACTTCCTAATACAAAGAAACAACTGTTACATATACAGGGAAACAACTGTTCCTACAGCGAAACTGTTCCTCATACAGAAACAATGGTTAATTATACCGGAAAACAACTGTTACTTATACAGAGAAACAACTGTTACTTATACAGAGAAACTGTTCATTATACAGAGAAACAACTGGTACGTATACAGAGAAACAACTGTTACTTATACAGAGAAACAACTGTTACGTATACAGAGAAACTGTTCATCATACAAATAAACAACTGTTACTTATACAGGAAAACAACTGTTACTTCTACAGAGAAACTGTTCATCATACAGAGAAACAACTGTTACGTATACAGAGAAACAACTGTTACGTATACAGAGAAACAGCTGTTACTTATACAGAGAAACTGTTCATCATACAGAGAAACAGCTGTTACTTATACAGATAAACAACTGTTACTTATACAGGAAAACAACTGTTACGTATACAGAGAAACTGTTCATCATACAGAGAAACAACTGTTATTTATACCGGAAAACAACTGCTCCTTATAAAGAGAAACTGTTCATCATACAGAGAAACTGTTCATCATACAGAGAATCAAATGTTACGTATACAGAGAAACTGTTCATCATACAGAGAAACAACTGTTACTTATACAGAGAAACTGTTCATCATACAGAGAAACAACCGTTGCAAATACAGAGAAACTGTTCATCATACAGAGAAACTGTTCATCATACAGAGAAACAACTGTTACTTATACAGAGAAACTGTTCATCATACAGCGAAACAACTGTTATGTATACAGAGAAGTAACTGTTACTTATACAGGAAAACAACTGTTACTTCTACAGAGAAACTGTTCCTCATACAGAGAAACAACTGTCCCTCATACAAAAAAAAATTGTTCCTCATACAAAGAAACAACTGTCCCTTATACAGAGAAACAACTGTCCCTCACACCAACTGTCCCTCATGCAGAAAAAAAGGTGTTCCTCATACAGAGACACTTGTTCCTTTTACAGAGAAACAAAAGTTTCTCATACACCGAAAAAACTTCAAAGGTTATCATACTTTTAATCATTCCTCGCATACATTTTACACAATAAAGCAATTATATCTTAACACTCCTAGCATGTACTTTTCCATCTTCATAATATTTAGACTTACTGTTATTTTATGATTTGATACACTTATTCACATGCACTTAAGAATGTTTATGGTATTCATATAATCACAATTTCATATGGAACATATTTTGTATATTAAGAAGCTTAATATAAGATCTTCAATAACTTATTATGCTGTACACCGAAGCTTAATTTCTAAACACAAAGTTTTTTACTTATATGTTTCACAAATTAATGGTATCGTGGTTCACACAAAAAATAAAGAATCACAGATGTAATATGGTTAAAATAATAACAGCATTTCTCTTTAAATAAACATTGTACAAAAGCAACACAAATTCACGCATAAATGTATAACTAATCAATGGAAATGTACAAATTAATCTGGAATAGATCTATATAAATTATAATTCTTTCAATCTGGAATAGATCTATATAAATTATAATTCTTTCAATCTGGAATAGATCTATAACTAGTATGTCTACTATGGTACTGCTCATCAAAGTATTGTTTAACAAAATATAGAACATAATGTTATCTGCAAGGACATTCACATGCATGCACAGTTTATATTTTAATCATATTTTAACCCAGACCATCATGGACTCATCCAGATGAATGTCTACTCAAGTTACCTAGGGGTGAAAGGGTAAAATCTGAAAGTCACCCCAATGAACTACTGTTATCCAACACTGAGACTACACAAACAGTAAGGTTTGACCAAGACAATTTAAAGACCTTTCGAGACCCTTCATGTGAAAGCAAATGCACCATCTTCAATTACATATTTATTTTAGCTTCAAATATTCTTTAGTACATGTACCCAGTATGTAACCACAGGTACCGCAGAAACAAGTGTCTCAACTCTGCAAGTTAGTTTTAAAGTGGCAAGGGGCACCATACATAAGTAGTTCTTTGGACATCAATCAGAATGTGTTAAGGCTAATGACCCCCCCCCCCCCCCCCCCTAATTATATACCTAATTTTAGAGTGTTTGACCAATTCTTATCATGAAAGAGCAAACCTATATCCCTATCAGACTCAAACATAATTTATTAGATAAAAAAGCAGTTGAGAAAATGCATGGATATGCATATATACCAAAATATATGCAAAATAAAATATGGGACAGATCATCAAACTTATACAAAAATAAAACAACAGATATATATGTACAAAAAAATACAGTAAGATGGCATTTAAACCTAAACTCCACCATCACTCCTAAAGCTTTAATACAAATATCATATATGTTTTTTATATAACACATTTTTTATCTAAATTCATTATACACTGTACTACCATTGATCTCACATCTTTCGTTTCATACATGACATTAATTAAGTTCATGTGGAAGATCTACACGCAGCTCAGATCTGTTGGAGGTTGCCCTGGTTTTTTGGGCATACTTTTTAACAAGTGATAAAATGCTCTATCTGGTTTACTTTTGAATATCACTAAAGAATAGATTCACAGAAAGTAAGTAATGCAATTCTTGAATCAATTTATTAACAAGTAAATGCTATTGACTATAATCCTATTACAGTGTGCTACCAGATCCGGAACATTGGATATATCCAGCAATTTATGACTACAAATGAATGTTAAGACATTTTTGGTTTCACTTCAATGACTTGTTAGAACTCCTATGGACTAATGCCCTACTCTGTGATAAATCTGATACACTAACTAGCCATCTAAATTGAGTCCAGAACATTGCAGCACATTTGGTTACCTTTACTCATTAGACACAGCACTTAGCATCCGTGTTGTATTCACTGCATTGGTTCCTTGTATGATACAGCACACAGTACAAAATTTTGATGTACATATACAAGACAATAAATGGAACAGCTCCTTAGTATTTCAAGGAGCTTATTACCATTTAAAAGCCAACACAATCACTGCAATCAGACAGAATACTTTCATGTATTCCAAAATTGTCTACTGTGACCTTTGGAAACTGTGTTGCAAAAAGGTAGTAGTCGCTCTGTGAAACAGTCTACCATCTAGTACCAGAACATAAAAAATGCTTGCAAAATTAAGGAAGGATGTAAAAACTCACCCATTTAGCATTTTTAGCATTTTCAACACAGATGTCTTGTAAAAACTTGTCAACCAATATTTACAAGAAGATAAAAGCTGTGCATGCTAATCTACAGTGCAGATTTAAGTGCCTTGTTTCTGTAACTCCAGAACAACTGTAATATAGGGTGCTACATGTTATTTTGTATACATCTAAATTTTCCCTCTGAATATTACTAGATAAAGACCAAAGTATGAATGTACAGGTAAACCTCACAAGGCAATGCTTAGCTAATCCAGGAAACTCTCAACCTGGACACTCGTTCTATTAAAATGGATTTCCTCACTTAAATTGCTAATCAGAATAATCACACCCAAGAATCAGAAATATTAGATCATAAACTTATGGTCACATTCCTAATGAGAAACAAGTCAGAAAATTATTGTCTATGCATCAAAAGCAAAACTGCTGGTCAAATTTTCAAAATGGAGGTAAATTAAATTAGTCGTCTATTCCAAACACTTTATAGCACCAGTGTCCACTTAAATCCTTGGTAAGAAACAAACATTTAGTTGTTATCTGCATAGCTACGGTTTATGGAGGCAGAAATAGTTCAATCAGGGCATTATCACAAGGAATCAAAGCTGTTAGAGTTAGAGATTCGGCTGTAACACCTGTAGGGTCAAGAATTTATACTTCATGCAAGATTTACGACATAATTCTAGAATATCTGATTTTTCCATGCCTATGGCAAGCTAAACTGAAACTTTGATACAAGTTTCATACATATTTCAAGACATGGAAAATAAATGCAAAATCCCTTTTGCAGCATTACCCAAAATTCAGTATAATACCAAATGCACTAGTTTTCATTTGCATTGGCACTTTTTAACTCATTTACCCCTGAAATCTCATAATGAACTGTCCCAACCTTTGCACTTGAAGAGTTCAAATGTGTCTTCAGGAGTGAATGAGTAAATGTTGTCCATTATTGTCTTGTAACCTTAAAAAAAAAATCCTGGACATAACAACCAATCAAACTCACTCTAAGTAACTTTATACTATTACAATTTTTAAATTCTAAGCTAGGCAAAGGTTTGGTTTTATTTTGTGTAACGTCCTATTAACAGCTAAGGTCGTTTAAGGACATGCCTCAATGTGTGTTGTGTATGTATGTGTGCTGGAGGCAGCCAGGCACAGGAGGCAATGTGGTAAACTCACTGCCATAGAATCCAATAAGATAGATAACCCATATAATTTTAGACAACTTTCCCACTTATGTTGACAAAGCTGGACAATGCTTTATTTTCATTTTTCATACTTGACCAGGAGGCCTTCTGACCCTGTATAGCTCACTGGATATTAAAGTAATCATAATAAACATTCTCCTTAAAAGTAATCTTTCATATATTTCCCCATTTTGGTCTCAGCCTCACAGCACCAAGAGGGGCAATGCCCTTCCTTTATATAAAATTTGATTCCCTGGTCCCAAGGATGCTTCCTAGCAAATTTGGTTGAAAAAAGATCAACTGGTCAGAAGGAGTAGGCTTTTAAAGACTTAAATGCATCTCATATGATACCCCTTTGGGCCTTGGCTCTAGCCCTAAGGAGAGGTCCGAAGACACTGCATAAGAATGGTCAGGATCTGTTAATAATTATTATGTGCATATGGTTATAGGGACTTTAAACTACCATATTAGGCACTGGTAATGACCATGAGTCTAAGTCTCCAGGGATAGATTGGTTGGTTGGTTGGTTGTAAAGGGTTTAGCATGCTATCAACAAGTAAGGTAATGTAAGGATGTCCCCATAGGAGCAGACTCTCAGGCTAATCTTGTTAGTATGATTGTATTCATCTCTTCATGGCCTGCAAGCAATTATATGATTTAAGGGTGGAGATCTCAACCATTTCCAAGCTATCACACAGGGTATAAATCCCCAGGGGCAGAGCTGTACCACGGAATTCTATTGTTGTAGCATGAATACATCCTTCTGTTCATGTCAAGCAATTGCATATAGGTTCCAGTCCCCAAGTGGCAATGGAACTTTAAATCAATCCTGGTTGCATTTATGCATTTATTTCTTCAATCCCTCTTTGTGAGTATGAGGTTATATTGTGGAGTAATACATCCAAATTTCTACACCCTTTCAGCCTCAGGAGTCCAACCCACTTAATTAATTAAAATACGATCACATTGCTCTTGTGATACTTCAGACCAAATATGGTCAAAAGTCAGAAGAAGCAAAAAACTCCCATATTCCTATTTTAAGCCCACTTCTTTGGCTCCAGACGGACACACCCTCTGTTAACACAACATTGAGACTTTTCGGCCAAGGTATTTTTCAGACTGTATTTGCTTAAATCATTCAACCATTACTGAAGGAGTAAGAATTTAAAGATTTACCCCAATTTCCTGAATTTCCCCCATTCCTCTGCCCGGGAGGACTGCACACTCTGTTTATACAACCTAAATTTCCCTAGACTAAATAAAAATTCCTAACTAGATTTAGTTAAATCCTTTCAGTGGTATTGGAGGAGAAGGATTTTAAAGATTTAACTTTATTTTTTCCCTTTTGGCCCAGCCCTTTTGCTTTGCAACCCCCTCCCCCTTCTCAAAGGAGACACATCTTCCTTTTATACAATGTTGAGTCCCCTTGAAGTCACAGGGTTTTGAAGGAACAGTTGACAGAGAACAGACATACATATGGCAGGACAATGGACTCTTCACACAGCATAAACTCATTTGGACTTGCAGACCTTGTGAGCTAAAAACCAAAGTGTTGGACAAAGATAGTTGCATTGAACAAGAAGGTTACTGCCATAAATTTTAAAAACATCTACATTAAGAAAATATCACTTTTTGGAAAATAAACATCACATTAAGATTAAGATTATGCTTAAATCAGCTTATAATCATATAAACTAATTCATATTCATGAGAATCTAAAGACAGTTTCTACAACATGGTTTCATATCAGGCAGGATGGCACACATGTTCAACCTACCACCCGTCGAACAATGAAATCAAAATAACTCTGAATGAGACGAACTCTCGCCCATTGTTATAGCATCAGTGTCACTGCTGGAGTCACTCGTCTCGTGTTGAGCCTCGCCCAAGCCACGATCAGTAAAAGAAATGAGACTTTCATCTTGACGGAGCAGCGAAGATGAAGCACCCAATAGATCGGTATCACAGGATTTATCAGATTCATTGTCACTATCGCGAGTGTTTGTGTTTTCAGTGATGATGGAAGACGGGTCAACACTGTCACATGATGTTGTAGTGACATCACCACTTCCCCTGCCAGCAGAGAGAGGCGAGTCCGGAGGATCAGCCTGTAGCAAATTTTGACACTCGCTACTACTACTTTCTTTCCCAGAATTCCTTGGGCGCTGCCATCTTGCTGTTATGCCTATATCACGGGAGAAACTGACATGTTCACCATCTGGCTGGTCACTTTCGTCTCCCGACTCATCAGGCCCTTCAGTTGTATCACTACTGTTGTCTGGAATGAGTGCCAATGTTGACGAGTGTGAATCTGTGTTCCATGTCAAATTTGAACTATTTATAGTTTGTGAACTTTCACCTGGCCCTTGGTTTCCCTCTGTTTGCTGATTGCTGGTGGTATCTGTCGAGCAGCTATCATTTTGTTGACTTGACTGTCCTGCAGTGCTGTTTGATGCTATTTGCTGTCGATGGGGTAAGCGGGCTGTTCGCCGACGGTGACGTCGCGTACGAGATCCTGCTGTTTCGTTTTGGTTGTTTTGTTCTGCAAGCTCTTGTCGCACCTCATCATATGGCCGTGACGTCAGCATCGCCTCATGATAAGGTGGCGGTGCCCGCCTCCTCATGAACTCGGCGTACATTCGTGTAAGCGGTGTTTCATGCCGTGGCCCATGGAACTGCTGCATTCGTAGATTGTACAGTTTACATGTACATCCCATGGCCACAACCAACAACAGGGCACAAATGAGAGAGCCTGCTACAGCAGCAATGGTTATCAGGTTTGTACTTCCTGAAACAGGAAAGAATTCATCCTCTTAAAATTTATTGGCAAAAAAGCATGGATTATTTTAGTTAATGTTTATATACATATTATATCAATTTTTACTGGTGACCTGCTGAAGTTCAGTATCAATGCCATACCCTTAACAAACAGTTTTTTACAGAATTTTAAGTCAGTCTTATAACGGTAGTGGTATTGTCATGCAGTGGCAAGTGAAAAATGTATAACACTTGATATACTACTGTTGCTCACTTGGACACAGAGATTCCCCACGAGTAATGATTGGTTAAAATGTTTATCTATCTTGAGTTAGTTCATTTTCAATTCTTATTCATTTGAGATGTAACACAGCATTTGATTGGTCAATCAAAATAATTTGCAATAATAAAACCACAATATAAACTGTCTGCAAATTTCTCATTTGCATATGAAGCCCGGATGGCGATTGTTCATGACGTTGATGACACCGACTGACCCCGACACATCATGAAATTGATTATTCATGACATCACAAACAATAGCATGACCGTGACAGGTCAATGAAAGTCCGCCTCACTTTCAATATTTCTTACGTCATCAATTCAGAACAGAGAGACCCAGAATTTGACAAAAACACTCAAAAATATCTTAATATCGTCGTTTCTTTCGGTGGTTTTGGTTGATATGACTTAGAATGAGGATAAAACTACTTTATTTTGAAATTTGCAGCAGTATATCATATACAATGTAACTGGCTGCACTCAGCGTCGCCAGTAAAACTCAATTTGCGACAGTATTATCATGATATACCGCCAAAAATGTTACTTACTTGGACAATCTATTACATCACTGTTATTAACTTGGACAATCTATTACATCACTGTTACTTACTTGGGCAATCTATAACATCACTGTTACTTACTTGGACAATCTATTACATCACTGTTACTTACTTGGGCAATCTATTACATCACTGTTACTTACTTGGACAATCAATTACATCACTGTTACTTACTTGGACAATATATTACATCACTGTTACTTACTTGGACAATCTATTACATCACTGTTATTTCACTGTTACTTACTTGGACAATCTATTTCGTCACTGTTACTTACTTGGACAATCTGTTTCGTCACTGTTATCGCCACAGTCGTTGGTTTTATCACATTTCCAAGTCTCGTAGATACAGCGTTTGTTATCACAGAGAAAAGTTCCATTATGTGAGCCACATAAAACAGAATCTGGAATGAACAATAAAGATCTTGATTCAAGGTTAAAATGACTGGATAATATCCGCATAGAAGTAATCTCATGTACGAAATTTGGTGCCCCTACATGACAGTAGTTATATGTATGCTGATGTCATGCATATTTAAATATTTGATTATCTTTCAAAATATACTGAGTCTTCTAAGCTTAGTTGTACAAGCTTAGAATGGAACTTTTTTATAATTTCTTTTCATATACAGCAGAAAACTAATGTCTCCTTACACAAATTAGTAAAAACATGAAATGCAAACCACAAGCTGTCTAACACCCAAACACCTCCTTAGGACAAGTTTATACCATTGTTCCTCTGTACGACAGTCTAGACTAATACCCTAACCACCTCTTAATGACAATTTAAACTCCCATATCTTGTTATTACCGGTTTTTACCAACTACATGTGTAAGTTTGTGACTTGTGACTAAACAACACCTGTTTTCTACCTACTACATGATTACCGGTTTTTACCAACTACATGTGTAAGTTTGTGACATTTGACTAAACAACACCTGTTTTTACCTACTACAGGTGTAACTTTGTGACTTGTGACTAAACAACACCTGTTTTTTACCTACTACATGTGTAAGTTTGTGACATGTGACTAAACACCTATTTTTTACATACTACATGTGTAAGTCTGTGACATGTGACTAAACACCTGTTTTTTACATATTACATGTGTAAGTTTGTGACATGTGACTAAACACCTGTTTTTACATACTACATGTGTAAGTCTGTGACATGTGACTAAAAACACCTGTTTTCTACTTACTACATGTGCAAGTTTGTGACATGTGACTAAACAACACCTGTTTTCTACTTACTACATGTAAATAAGGTCTGTGACTTGTGACTAAACAACACCTGTTTTTTACCTACTACATGTGTAAGTTTGTGACATGTGACTAAACAACACCTGTTTTCTACTTACTACATGTGTATTAGGTCTGTGACATATGACTAAACAACACCTGTTTTTACCTACTACATGTGTAAGTTTGTGACTTGTGACTAAACAACACCTGTTTTTACCTACTGCATGTGTATTAGGTCTGTGACATATGACTAAACAACACCTGTTTTGCCTACTACATGTGTAAGTTTGTGACATGTGACTAAAAACACCTGTTTTCTACTTACTACATGTGTATTAGGTCTGTGATATGTGACTAAACAACACCTGTTTTTTACCTACTACATGTGTCAGTTTGTGACGTGTGACTAAGCAACACCTGTTTATTACCTACTACATGTGTAAGTTTGGTACATCTGACTAAAAACACCTGTTTTTACCTACTACATGTGTAAGTTTGTGACATGTGACTAAAAACACCTGTTTTCTACCTACTACATGTGTAAGTTGGTGACTTGTGACTAAACAATACCTGTTTTATACCTACTACATGTGTAAGTTTGGGACATCTGACTAAAATCACCTGTTTTCTACCTACCACATGTGTAAGTTTGTGACATGTGACTAAAAACACCTGTTTTCTACCTACTACATGTGTCAGTTTGTGACGTGTGACTAAGCAACACCTGTTTATTACCTACTACATGTGTAAGTTTGGTACATCTGACTAAAATCACCTGTTTTCTACCTACCCCATGTGTAAGTTTGTGACATGTGACTAAAAATACCTGTTTTCTACTTACTACATGTGTGTAAGTTTGGGATATGTGACTAAACAACACCTGTTTTTTACCTACTACATGTGTCAGTTTGTGACGTGTGACTAAGCAACACCTGTTTATTACCTACTACATGTGTAAGTTTGGTACATCTGACTAAAAACACCTGTTTTTACCTACTACATGTGTAAGTTTGTGACATGTGACTAAAAACACCTGTTTTCTACCTATTACATGTGTAAGTTGGTGACTTGTGACTAAACAACACCTGTTTTATACCTACCACATGTGTAAGTTTGTGACATGTGACTAAAAACACCTGTTTTCTACCTATTACATGTGTAAGTTGGTGACTTGTGACTAAACAACACCTGTTTTTTACCTACTACATGAGTCAGTTTGTGACGTGTGACTAAGCAACACCTGTTTATTACCTACTACATGTGTAAGTTTGGGATATCTGACTAAAATCACCTGTTTTCTACCTACCACATGTGTAAGTTTGTGACATGTGACTAAAAATACCTGTTTTCTACCTACTACATGTGTAAGTTTGGGATATCTGACTAAAAACACCTGTTTTCTACCTACCACATGTGTAAATTTGTGACATGTGACTAAAAAACACCTGTTTTCTACCTACCACATGTGTAAGTTTGTGACATGTGACTAAACAACACCTGTTTTCTACTTACTACATGTGAAAGTTTGTGACATGTGACTAAAAACACATGTTTTCTACCTACTACATGTGTAAGTTGGTGACTTGTGACTGAAAACACCTGTTTTCTACTTACTACATGTGTAAGTTTGTGACATGTGACTAAACAACACCTGTTTTCTACTTACTACATGTGTAAGTTTGTGACATCGGACTAAACAACACCTGTTTTTTACCTACTACATGTGTAAGTTTGTGACATGTGACTAAACAACACCTGTTTTCTACCTACTACATGTATTAAGTCTGTGACATATGACTAACAATTAACACTGGTTTATACTCACTACAGTTAAGTTCATCGTCAAGCTCTGCACACCGCGAGATGCCGTTACATCTCTGTTTTTCTTCGTAACACTGGTGACTGCCCTTCAGACCACAGCGGAAGTGTTCTTTGTCACACCCACCTGTAAAACAAGGCACCACGCTTTATGTGCTAACTACATACACATCACACTGACTTTACACATATGGCATCACTACGATTCTATAACCCTTCCAAGATAACATGGCTCAATCTTGCTGTCATCATTATGATCCATACACTTATTTATTAATCTAATTCTTAATAGATTAAAATATGCTAAATTGAAATATCAAGTTCAACATGACATGGAGGCTACAGCATGTACCTAATAGAATGTGTTCATTTCCCCGTGGCACATCCAAGTCACTTGGGATTAAAAGATGTCCAAAAAGGCATCCATACTATTTATAAGGAATCAAACTGATCGGGCTAAAAAAAATACAATTATAATTTAACAAATACATTGTTTTGGTTTAATGTTTCTAAAGGAAGGGTGATATTTTGGTGTGAAAAAAAAAGACATTTTTTGTTTGTTTAAGGGTAGATAACATCATTCCACTATCGTAGATAACATCATTCCACTATTGTAGATAACATCATTCCATTATTGTAGATAACATCATTCCACTATTGTAGATAACATCATTCCACTATTGTAGATAACATCATTCCATCATTGTAGATAACATCATTCCACTATTGTAGATAACATCATTCGATTATTGTAGATAACAGCATTCCATTATTGTAGATAACATCATTCCACTATTGTAGATATCATCATTCCACTATTGTAGATAACATCATTCCACTATTGTAGATAACAACATTCCACTATTGTAGATAACAACATTCCACTATTGTAGATAACATCATTCCATTATTGTAGATAACATCATTCTACTATTGCTGTGTAAGCTTTGCTGCTAGGGTACATACCACATCCCTTTTCGTCTCCTCCATGGAGTCGGCAGTTCCAAACCCCATCACACGCTTTATCTGTGGGGAAACAGTCCTTCTCCGCAGTCCCACAGGATGACTGGTCAGGTAGACACACACCTATCCAAATCATGTCAATAAAAAACTCAAATCATGTCAATAAAAAACTGTCTTCAAATTTCAAAATACAGCTGAGAAATAAGTACCTAATGAGATCATCGTAGGGGGATAATATACACCACTGATGTTAGGTTTGATTTGGTTTCCACAATAAGATGTCAGACTGTATTGTTTTATTATTTATACCTTCTATCCTCCTACATGTTACTCAAGTTTTGAGGCACTCCCTTCCTAGGCCTGTTGTTAAGTATATTTGACAAGATTTTGGATACTCCCTTTCTTGTTGTCTATTATACTAGATTACATGCTGGAACTCCCTTCACTGGTATGATGGACAAGACTTCAGGTACTATTTTCCCTACTTTTGAATACTGGACAAATATTATTTTCTTAATGACCGAGTGTTCTGGATCAAGAAGTATTGATTAGTCCATAAAAAGATAATTGAAATTTTACAACAGTCGAGAACAAAAAATACCAAAAGAATTACTTAATTACCTGAAAATATGTGGTACAGAACTAGATATTACAATATAAATTAACCAATGGCTTTTCTCACTTACCTTTCTTTTGGAAGGTAATATTAAAACCACTTTCTGCCCTGACACGATTTGTTGTGAACTTGAGCGTGACATAGTCAGTTGTGGACTCGACCATTGTAGGTACGTCAGCCAGGCCACCAAAGTACACGCCGATGACCTTGCCTTCATGGTATGTTCCATCATACACTGTTAAGAAGTCTGTCCCAGCCTCCTTTTGGAGTTCAAATTTAATGAACCGCAACTGTACTTGTGCTTTTGTGTCCTGGACATGGATCGTCCAGGTACAACTGAGGTTGTTGGGATAATCGTGTGGAAAGTTGGGCGATACCACAAACCCTGTCTGACTGTCTATGTGACTATTACACTTGAAAGAAGCTGAAAATATAACGAGTTCAAAATACACATCTTGACATCTCAAACAATTTTCCGACTTTTACACAAAAAAATAGACATTAACAAAATATTAATTTCTTTTAGTTTTTATTTCTGTAAGCATTCATGCTGTTGTGCACATTTATACTGTTGTGGGTACAGACAGACTACATCATTAACCCTTTTACCACCGTAGACCATAATGAACTCATCACGATAAATACATGGTCGAGTCTATTAAATTTACCTAGGGGTGAAAGGGTTAAGGTAATTATTTACCTCCTATATTCTTACTGAAGTCAATGGACCAATATGGTCAACGATAGACTTCCTATTTACCAGGGTTGAGTGGAAGTATGGGAAAGAATGATCCTTAATGATTATCAGCTGGACATATCAACTTTGAGACGTGTATATAAAGTCTATATATTATAAGAACTTACGGCACAGCTTGCTATCCTCATCTTCCCCGTGCAGGCAGTCTTTCTCCCCGTCACACCACTGGGCCTTAGGGATGCACCGGTTCCTACCTGTACCTATGTCTTCACACAGCAATGTGCTGTTGGTACAAATATGTGTAGTAGGGGGTGTTGTTGAGTGGGTTTCTGTGGATTGCAACAGCAAGAATTTAAAAGAGCAAGTAAATGTTAAAAGTTTGCATTTACAGGATCACAGGAACCGTATTCGACCTAACACTGTATGTTAGGTTATTTATGAGTCACTAAGTTTACTTAAAATCAGATTTCCATGTTTTAATTTTTCTGGTTTTTATTGCCATACTTACTCGACCATGCAAGTGTTTGTTTTTTTTTAGTATGCAATAAAAATAGTTTTATTTTCAGCACTTTCAGCACCTTGCGAATGAAGTGAAAATTACATACTTGGTTTGGTTTGGTTTTATTTTGGTAGTAGATAAGGTATTTAGAAGTAGAGAGCAATATATATATTCCAAATATTGCAATGGGTGCAGCAGATTGATTTTGGTTATATCAGACGTTTATCAACAGTATGAAAATTACATACTCTCGAGTCATAGCCAATAAATGGAATAAATTGTTTTTCATTTAAATATCGACACTTCAGCTGGTACACATCATTTAAAAGTCAGGTGAGGTTAGCAATGCTACTTTATTAGCACTCTTCATCTTTCTGAGAAAGGGTGGAAGTGTACTTACTTGGTTGGATGTGGTATCCATATCATTACACTATACTGTAATATACAGTATTATTACACTGTGTTATAATTCATGCATCTTTATTGCATATACCTGGTATAAACAATATGCTCATTCATCATTCTAATTCATTTCAGATGAAACAAGGCATTTGCTTGGTCAATCAAAATAATTTGCGACGGTAAAACCATGATATACCGTCTGAAAATTTCTCATTTGCATATGAAGCCCGAGTGGCAATTGTTAATGACGTCGGTGACCCCGACACGTCATGAAATTGATTATTCTTCATGTCACGAACAAAAGTGTGACCCTAAAAGTTCAACGTTATTCCGCCTCACTTTGAATATTTCTGACGTCACCAATCCACAGCAGAGCCCAGAATTTGAAGAAAACACTCAAAAATATCTTTAAATCATCGTTTCTTTCTGTGGGTTTGGTCGATATGAATTAAATTGGGGATAACCCTACTAAATTTTGAAATTTGCTGCTATATATCGTGGAAAACTCAATTTGAGACAGTATAAACAGGATTTGTCGCATCAAATTTCAAAATACAATAGGGTTATCCCCTAAATGGCCACACAAACTAAAGTGTCCAGATTAATAAGGTTCCACAGTATACACACACCACAGAGTTGGGACTGGTACGTAATGCAGCTGAAGTTTCTTGATGAACAAAGTTTCACAGAACAAAACACCTACCATGTGGACAATTAGCTTCGTCACTGTGATCCTCACACTCAGCTAGACCGTTACACCTCCACTCGTTAAATATACATTTGCCGCTGTGACAGCGGAACTGGTCCTGCTCACACCTTTTGGTTTGTAGAGGACCTGAGACAAAAACAAAATTCAATACATTAGATCAGCATATCAATGTATAAAATGTCTTCACCTTAATACAATACTTCCTGACATGAATATATAAAGACACATGACTGCAAGGTAATTATATCATATTAACAAGTCATTGACTTCAAATTAACACATTACAATAACAATTTAATTACTGTATACAAAGAATTTATTGCTCAGAAAAATAGTTGTTCATCACCGGTAAAACCCTTGTTTGCTCCGTGTTAATTTGGCCCTTACCATGTAATTTCTATACAATGTTTATTGGTACTACAATGTACTTGCTCTCATGATGAATTCTCTCTGACTGCAGATCAAGGCACAAAAAGCAAAAGTTAAACTGCAGCAAAAAAAATCCAGTAGAGTCTTACCATCTTTACATTACAACATTAATATATATAAGACGTATATTATATATATTAATATTTATGATTCACCACTTATTATCAATGAGTAGTTGGTTTATTTTCCTTTGTTTTAGCCTTCCCAAAATTCTGTAGGAGTAAATCAGACTTACCCATAATATACATCAGTTCAAAGCCAGCCCCTGTTGTCATATAGTCAGAGCTAAAATGAATTCGGACATGTTTTGCCGTGGAAATGTAAACCCTGCTTGTGATGCTGCTCGTATTTCCACACAATTTCACCTTTGGATGGGGACCTATCTCCAGATAGTCCCGGCCACAATTTCCCAGAATACCAGTCTCAACATCAAACATTTTAAAACTGAAAATCAAAATGTCAATGACTTTTTATAGTAAGAGTGACGACATGAAAGAGTAGGTGGTTATCTTATTATAACTCATTATAACTGATTATAAATAATTGTGCAGCATTTGAATAATGCCCTATATCTAATGTCAATGATCCCTTCTAGTACCTCCGTATGTGTGAGGGCTTGTCTTTGTCTTGAAGTTCAAGCTTGTACAATAAATTTCCAATGGTTTTTAGCACAGAAACTGAAGTGCTCAACACAGCCCATATGATACCTAACTCTCAATGCAGATGGAGATGAGCAACAAGGATACAAAGAGGTTTACCAATGAGAGATTGTTGGTCATCATGTTATTTAACTAGAGTTAGTTGATTTTCAAATTGTAAAAGACACAAACATCAGTAGTTCGGGGACCTTTTTAATTTGTCTCCCATAACACTCATATCATATCTAGAAAATCAGGTTCCTCTGGAAATGCATTGTTTGTGTTTCTGTTGCTTTGAATCATGACATCACAGTTGAAGATGACGTTGTACATTGCAAAGCATTGTTCAGTGATGTCAAAATTCAAAGATTGGCCATTGAAATAACAACCAAAACTGTTTAGAAACTCCTAGCAGGTTTATTCAATGTGTCCGGCATGAGGAAACCTATATTTAATGATTTATAGTGGTTGAGGGAGAGAGTGTCTTGCTTAAAGACAGCCACACCACATCATCTGCTGGAATTAAACTCATATAAGGACCTTGTGGTCAATAGAATGGTGCACTATGGGGTCTCTTGATGAGTATTGCATTCTCTACTGATTAAGGTAAATGTGTGACATTAATTACTGAACGAGATGAAATATGGACAAGAAGTCTGGTTTAAACCAGAAGGGGACCAGGTTAGTGTTACTGGGGCCAGTGTGTAAATCAATTAGAGGTGGCAAGGGTGTAGGGTGGGGGTTAGGGAACGGATTACATTGGCAAGGGTGTAAATGATGTACAGATTAAGGAAGAGCTAGGGGGAGAGAGCACAATTGAAATGGTATCAATTAACTGTTTAAATGAACTAGGAAACTTGAAAGAAGGTTAGTTGTAATAGTAAAAGTGTGGAAGAAGAAATCAGATTACAGGAGTACAGAGGGAGTCAAAGAACACAGGATTAAAGAAGAGTGGTAGAGTGAGAGGTAGAGATTGCTAACATACCTTATGGTGATGATGTCATTGGTGTTTCCAGTGATGAACCAGTCCTTACAGAAGTTGGTGGGGTAGTGTGCTGGGTAGTCAGGACTAGTGATTGTCCCGTGGTTTTTGTTGTACTCCTCACTCTTACAGCTGTCTGTTAATCACAACACCAGTCTATAGTACTGCCTCATCTCACATACATAGAAGTTTATATTTCAAGAGGCCCATTATGGGCACCTATCATGTTACAAACCATCTAATGCTGTTGGCAAACATGTTGAACATGGGTGTTCTTTAAAGTGGGTCAAGGTCATTTTCATTTCAAACAAGCTTGATAGCAAGCAACGCAAGCTCAAACTGAAGGCTACATAAAAGATATTTTTCATCTCATCAATCTTTCTTTGAAGATTTTAACTTAATTTCCTAATGTGACCTCGTTTAAAGTTGTCTAGATCAATTAATTGAACAACTTGATGGTTGATATCCTAGCACGCTTCAGGTTGAGGACCCTTAGAAGATGATGTTCAAAGTTTTTTTTACACAATTGTCCACTGTGACCAAGACAGTGTCTGGCCCGGTCAAGGTAATTCATTCTAACTAATTGTTTAACCCTTCACTCCAGTAAATTACAGACCAAATATCATTACTCAAGATCTTGTTGCTTTATTGGTCATTAGAAGAAGCTTACAGCTTTCAATAATTGACCTCTGTGACCTTGAATCATGTCATTTATATTTAAACAAATTTTGATAGCCATCACCCCAACATTTGGTAGGTCAAGTGTCAATACTCTGTATCTTATGGGTCTAAAGAAGAAGTCTTTTTAAATAAAGAAAATGTTAACAGTGGACAGACAGCAAAAGCTGTGCCATGGTAAACAAAGAAAGGGAATAAAAATCTGAAGGTTTAAACTGGTGATATTTTTTAGAATTTTTAGAATTTCCTATCAATTACTATACATGTGCTTAAAATTATGATTATATTCTTGAAATTTGTCTACGTTCACCAATTTAGATAGTAATGTTAATTCTTTTTGTATCAACATCACTTTGAAGTAGAAGGTACTGGTCCTTCTGAGAAAATGAGATAAGGCAGGAAACAGTTTAATGCTAAATAATCCAATTTTGAGGGGAGATCATTATTAAATGAAATTTTAACATTTGGTCAAAAATCAGACATCTTTCATTCTACTGTTGAGCGCTAACGATTGCCTTCAGATTGATATATTTTCAAGGAAAAAGATCAATCTTCATTTTCAATATATGAATACGTTTTTTATTTGTACATGTGTTTATATACATAATTATGATCCATTCCTCAAAAAATCTTCTTTTTTATCATGTTTTATTCAATTGTTCACATGAAAAATATCCATTGCCATTACATTGCATACACTAAATATTGTCACTTATCGTCTTTAATTCGTCTGTACATTTATCATGATTAAATTCCTTACCAATCACCATATAGTGAAAAATTACATTCAATTTAGCTCAAATGCTGTGGTTATTACTTCCCATTTTTCTATAATAAGAAAGTGTTGAATTTTTTCCTTTATACTTGGGGTTTGTATTGTCTATTCTTACCTGTTGACTGTGCTCCGGCACATGAAATTAACAGGTACAACACACTGACAGCTGTAACAAAAGAAGTTTAATACCTTATATAACATTATCTATGCTGTTATTTTTACACCTACACTGTATATGTTCATATATGCATTCTCGATAGTTTTTTTTGTTGATATTCTGCTTCTTCCTTTGACCTTAAGCTTTAAAGCTTTGTCATGAGATTTGATGCTAGGCCTACATGCCTATGGTTTTCAGAACAAACTTTATAACACCATTAGACCCAACTGCGATAACGCAGCTTCTGACAACAACACAATTTTATATACCTTCACAGGGACCACAGACTTAAGATATCAATCTAATTCTGTACCGGGACGGAGGAGGCCAGGAATTAATATTAGTACTACATTAATATTGGTCTATTACAGATGATTTAGATTTATTGATCAGCGACTCTGATTTAACACTGGATCTGAATTAAGGATATCGGTCAGTCACACCGGAAACTGTTACAAAAATATGCATCTATAATAAGCCATTGTTGTACATCGTTTAGATACTATAATGGTAGGGCTTAATGTAAACAAAACATAAATGTGGACGCGGTAACATCAGTCTGTTTACCTGTTAATCCAAAGTTACTCATCGTCAGTGTATTTGTGGTGGTTCGTCAACAACAATACATCTTCAAAGACACACCAATACTTAAAGCGACATCGTCGTGATCACTAGAGTGTGAATTAAAACTCGTGATTTTGTTATTGTTTATGACTGTTGACAGCAGGTGTTCGATTTTGTCAACCTGACGACAAATTTCCACCACAGATCGTGGTTGTCCCGTTTGACAATCACAGGACCGCTGGTGTTTCCATTTAGGTAACTTCTGGACGGTCAGTCTTAATATCCACCTGACGACAGCATGAGATCGAGATTCCTTCCTAGTAAGACTAACAGGGTTGGAGTGTCCTCCATGGTGAACTTCCGTGTTAAGACGTCCAAGTTCCGGAGTGTCTAAAATTAACACCGGCGAACGGAATCCGGAATTGTTCGACACTGGCAGAGTCTTCGAGACTAAACCTACTCCCTCTTTTCCTTATTTTTTTTCAATTTTCCTTACATTAGTATTTAACAGAAAAACCTGTTTTTTTACAACATTTAAAAAGTAAAAGAAAGATCTCCAATGTCTACAACATCCGCAGAAATCGCCCCGCCGCTACCTGTTATGTTTCTTTTGTTACCAAGACTAAACCTCAGCCCAAAAGGAGCTTCATTCTTCCCTCATACAAACTATCTATTCTGTGGGCCAGGTTTCATGAATGTCCCCTTTTCCATGGCTAGAGCTCATGAAATTTTCCAAGTTAAAGAACGTTCGTGAAATTTTGAATAGGCCCCTCTAAAGAACCGTTGGTTGAGTATATATAACGTTAGGGTGGACATTTTGATAATTCCCATGTCAAGATCCTAAGACAAATTTCCCGCGATTGGAACCTATAGCTTTAGCCCAAGGACTAAATCCCGGGACAAAATCTTATTATAGTTATTTGCCGTTCGAACAGATGAGCTCAAACGGACTATTTTTCTACGATCAGCATAGCTGTCTTAAAAGTTTTAAAAATTAGTGTACTACTAAATATTCTGAAAAAACCTATCTTACCTCTCGGCACCCTCTTAAACACTACTCCTTTAGGGAAAACACTTTTTTTTATTTACAAACAAAAGTTCAGCCTTGCTTGGCAGGGGAAACGATTCAATAATTTGATTTGTACCAGATTTATAAACAGTTTGTTTTCATTGAAAAATGTCTACAAATGCATATATATATGTTACCTGCTCGTTTTTTACATTATTTTGATAATAGGCTGCATACTTTATCTCGTAATTGTACGATAGTTTTTTTTTTTTAACACTGGACATTTAAATATATGTTTTATCAAACGATCTCAGTTGTGCCACAAGATGATCCAAATCTTATGGCAACCTATGGAAATAAACATCGAATTTGACATATAAAGGATCTGATATAATTCTGTGGAACAAGCCGTTTTATGAAACTCTGCCGTTATATATCAGGAATCTTTTACACATTTTGCGGGGTTCTTCCAAATCAACCTCAAAAGTCTATCAATTAACAAAATGGAAACGTTCGTGCGTAAGGGGGAATATGTAAGAGTTATCTCCCCTGTACTGGCCTTAGCTACACAAGTAAACAACATGTTTGTGCACGCTTCTGCAATGAATGAGGTCAATTAATGTCGGGATAATTCCCGAATCTCTGACAATGGTAAGTACGACAGTACATGGCATGTATATATATATAATTCTTGATATGTTGCCCTCTAATTTTATTATCATATATCTATAAGTAATGTGGCCCCGCCTCTTCCATATAAAAGTGTCGGACGAGTCACCTGCTTACATGTAATGTGTGATGGTAAGAAAATGCAGAAGCTGTACGTAGGAGTTGTAACTCCATCTTGCATGCTATTGCCAGACAAAGTAGTGACACAGATCGCCAACTAGCATGGTTATAAAGAGTATACATTCATTGGTCCATGTATTAATGATATATAGAGACACGTACAAATATAATATATACGGTATACGTATGCATGGATTCGTTATCACGTGCTTCGTACTCTAATCGATAACAGATATGCTGTCACTGGCGTTTAGTGGAGTAAGCATGATGCAGATACACACAGTCTCTTCCTATTTCTTTCGCTGTTTGTGGACAATCTGGTCTAAATACAGAATTCAAGCTAAATATAGTTACCCCTTAACTATCAGTACTTGTTCATTTGTAAACACATTATGCAGGTAAATGTTCGGGTGCCATTTTACTTTTTAATCCCATTTGGTGAGATACGACGGCACCACGAAGTTGGATTATATATGGGTCTATCTAAGTCAGTGATATCACTGACTCGAATACAATGTAGGTGATGTCATTGATGTAGATTTCGAATTTATGATGTCACGTATACGAGTTCCTCTACTGAATGAGTGACATCACCTATTGCAATCGGTATTGCCGTTATTGAAATTAAAACGTAAAACACACGGTCATTCCACCTTAATTTAACAGCCATTTTGTGATACCAATAAAGTGTATTAAAAAGTAAACGTCTACCCATTGGTTTATTAATTGAACCACCGGAACTGGAGGGGTACTAGTCCGAAATATTCTGACGTTGTATGACTTTTTTTCATATCGGTCTGTCTGCGGTTAATCGACGACAGACCGATATAAAAAAATCGATAAAACGTCAGAATAATTCGGACTAGTACCTCTCCAGTTCCGGTGGTTCAATTAATATACCAATGGGTAGACGTTTACTTTTTAATACACTTTATTGGTATCACAAAATGGTTGTTAAATTAAGGTGGAATGACCGTGTGTTTTACGTTTTAATTTCAACAGTATCGAGTATTTCTATCACAATTTCATTGTTTTCCCTTAGTAAAACACCTGCATCGCTGTCAAATGGGACAGGCGACCGCAATCAATTAGTCCATTCATGGACGTCTTGTCAAACCCAAATCCTAGCTATTGCTATGACAAGACAAGAGACTTGGATTTAGTTTTAGTTTTTGGAGGAATGGTATAAACGACACATGACAAGTGCCTTCTAAGTATTGTCACACAGGTTTATGCTCTTTTACTATTGAATTTTATAGAAATCCTTTAGAGTTATATTAAAATATTTTATAAGTCCTGTATGTATTTTCAGGAGATATCACTTAATTGGCATTTCCTCACATGTATAGATAATTTGATGTTCTATGCTCCATAGGAAGTCATTTGGGAAATGATACATATGCATATATTCTTTGATTTCTGTATTTTGCAGGAAATTCCTTCGGAAATGTCATACATGTATATTGAATTTCATTTTCTATGTTTTTTAAGGAAGTTATTTGGAAATTGTCACTCGTGCATATCTTATTTGTATTTCACGGGGGAAGTCTCTTGGAAATGTCACAAATAAACGGCGTTTTTTTTCAAACCCCCAAGAGGCGCAAAGCGCCGCCGAGGTTTGATCTGTAAACACTTTGTCCACTTCTGGTGCTTCCCAACGCGTGTCAGCCTTCTGGGAAACTAAGGTCGCATACTGTCTTCCAAAATATGATAGTAAACCCTACGGTATCTGTAATTGTTACAGTTTACTCTAAAATATGACTTTACTTTCTGATGCCATTTGTAGTAATTTTCTGATGCCATTTGTAGTAATTTTCTGATGCTATTCATAGTAGTTTTACCTTAATTAGAAGTCCATTGAGGCCCCTTCAAAAATCGGAATCAGAATCAGAAATTTGGTACATATGTTCTAGACATTTTGTATTGTTGCACTACTGTTTTTGTTTTTGTACACGCCACAGAAGAGGCGACTGATGTTGGAACCCCAAAGAAGTAAGCTTCCGGAAATCCGCGAAATTTCAATACCAGATTTCAACAATGACATGCAGTCTTCTTCTGCCCTTCAATCTACTGAAGGCGGGGTAGATGATCTTTTTGAAGCATACAGATCTGGTATAGAAGCCCTTATAGAGAAACACGCACCTCTTCAGACTAAGGTGATAACTGTGAGACTGAATGCCCCGTGGTATAATGAAAATCTCCACTTAGAAAAACAGAACCGTAGAAAAGCAGAGAGACAGTGGCGACGGACCAAATTATGTGTGACACATATTGAATGACGATATGCAAAATTAATGCCATTAACAATTTATAAAAACATTAAAATTAAACAAATTCAAGTATGCAAGATCGGTTCCCTCGAGGTTGTTGTACTGTCAGGTAGTCATTTTTCATAAAAATAAAAGGTTTGGTGTCCAGCAGCTTTGCGGCATTTCTTGTTTAATTTTCATGCCGGTATGAACGCAAATCGGTTACATCCATATTGCACGAAGCCCACTAGGGTTTCATGTTTAATATGGATGTAACCGATTTGCATTCATACCGGCATGAAAATTAAAAAATACGCCGTTTTATTCAAATATTTACATTTTTGCTAAAGAACAATTAATTTCATTTATTTGTTCTTATTTTTATTTTTTTTATTTACTGCGTTTTGTATAAGCGACATTAGCGGAACAGCCCTATTTAATTAAAATTGGCGCCAATTACTAACCGTAGTCATTTAAGCTTTTGACGTAGGGGCATTCTCCATGTTATCCGGAGCGAAGTGACAAGACTCTCATTGAACAAGGTTAATCTATGACGTCATAAGTAAACCACGTGTTACGTCACGAGAGTTTTTGCTTTCATACACAAATGAAATGCATTTTCTGCTGTTAATGTTCATCAAGTGGGATGCAGCGCAAATGTAAATATATGTAAATAGAATATCTTTTCAATGTTTTCCAGGAAGTCATAGAGAATTTCAGTTTCTATGTTTTGCAGGTAATCATTTGCGAATTGTCACTCGTGCATTTTTTATTTGTATTTTACAGGAAAAGTCCCTTGGAAATGTCACACATGCGGAGGAAATACTGGAAGGTTTATACCGGTTGTGGAAAGAACAACGTTACACTGACGTCACGTTAAGTGATGGCAATAGTTCCTCTCAAGCACACAAGATATTGGTGGACGCATTTATGCCACAGATAGGCAAGACCTGCAGAACAAAATCTGACATCAGACTAGCTGAACTTAAAACACCCATAGAAAGAGTTCTCTCCTGGCTTTACTCATTACCTGAAATGGGATTAGAATTACTGAAACTCGAAGTGAAGCCAGCGGCTTCAGAGCTTAAAATCAAATTTGTTCTTGATCATAAGCCAAAGATTGTCAAAAGTAAAATAACAACAAATGCTCAACTAAAGCAATCTTGGATAACAGAGTTCTCTACAAAACTACGTCAGTGTTACAAAGATGGTTCATTTAGTGACGTCATTCTTAAAGTTGATGGTCAAGTTTTCCGATGTCATAAAGCCGTTCTTGCCTCAGTGTCCCCTTTTTTCGATACCATGTTTTTATCGGGAATGCGCGAAACAGACGCTGAGGAGATTGATTTACATGGAGTAAAGGAATCGGACTTCAGAATCATTTTGGACTCTATATACCTAGGAGAAGAATGCATTTCAGTGACAAACGTTGAAAGTCTGATTTCAACGTGCACATATTTTCAACTGAATAGAATACAGGTGCAATGCGAGAGATTCCTAGACAGGAACGCTGACCCTGAAAACGCCCTCGGTGTGTTGAGATTAGCAGAATTAAATAGCATTGTTTCTTTGCGACAGAAGTCTTTGTCGTATATCGTTCATAACTTTCAAGAAGTTGTCAAGTGTAAAGAATATCCCTCATTGTCAAAAGAACAATTACTGGAGATGATTAAGGACGACGATTTGAATGTGGTAGACGAAACAGAAGTGTTTGAAGCTGTACTCAAGTGGTTTTCTTCGTACAATCGTCCACATGAGGATCTGGAAATTATCTTACAGGGTGTTAGTCTTCTAGACGTCAGACAATCGTCCATCAAGGCCGCAATCGCCGACGAAAACCTGCCACAGGCCTCGTGCACTATCCTGCAGTCTGCCGTCGATAAAGCCAACACACGAAGTGCATCTTCAGGGAGATTTCGCAACGAGCAGGTGTTACTGGTCGTGAGGGCTAGTGGTCAGGAAAGTGGTGTACACGTGGCATGTTTTAGTTTCAAAACTAAGCAATGGTTTCGACTGGCATCAATAAAAGGATATGAACCTGGTAGTGCTTTTGCTGCTTGCTCACTTGGTCGGTTTATTTATCTGACAGGAGGTTCCGGGAATCCATGCGCGTTTTTCGAATATAGTATTGGCGATAATGTATGGACGTCTTTGCCTAAGTATAGAGAAGCGAGATCAGAGCACGTTGCTGTGGCGACCTGCGATTCGGTGTATGTTCTAGGAGGAAGGAATCAAGTGCATAGCGTCATACCCAGTATAGAGAGGTACAACCTGGGCACAAGGTCGTGGCGCCACCACGGGGTCCTGGCGCTGCCGGTCTCCGACGCATCTGCCGCGGTGGTGGGATCTAACATACTAGTGTGCGGTGGGGCACTATCATTCGGGGAATACACGGACGCCATTCAATGCTTTGACACAGAGAGACAAACCTGTTCTGTGATAGCTAATCTTCCGATGCAGTGCAGCTTCACCGACATTGCGTTGCACGATTCTATTCTCTATATAGTAAGTCCTCGAGGTCATGTGATGGAATATGAGTACGGCAGGAATCCCTTATTACTTGGGAAAGCTCATACTTCCTCCTTTATGGATTTTTCCTGTGTCTACTTCCGAGGTGTGTTGTACATCGTTGGAGGTACATCCAATAAATCAGAGTCGGCAGAAATCAGGGCATTCGAACTAAGCACACAGAAACAAGTTGTTCGCAAAAATGTGAATTTGCCATGGAAACGACTATCAAACCAATACTACAGTATCATAGGTGGAGTCAGTAGGAAATATCTGTGTGACGAAATAAAGGATGTGTAGCTTAACAGCACGGTACATATATATACTGTACATCCCCGAATAGAAACTCGTGTTGTTACACTCTCTTATTTTTACTGCAGCTCTGACATGCGTATTTGGCCATTTGATTGGTTTCAGGTGGAAGTAACTGAACATTTGGAAGGCAGATAACTGTCCTTTGAAAATCAAAGAAGCGACATCCGACTTTCAAACCGTTAAATTTTACCGTTGCAGTAGATATAAACTTATAGGCTTGAAGTAGCAAGGAGTAAGGAGCAAAAGAGTCAGATGGAGCCAGACAGAAAAGAAGAAAGATGCCCCTCCCTGTGGGTGGAGCAAGGAATCGGAGAGAAAAGAAAAAAGATACCTCTCCCTGTAATTGAGCACGAAGGATATATAAAGCCGTTACATTCAAGAAAATTTCAAAACATTCACATGGCTCAAGCTCTAATCATTAAACCATTAAAAGTGAGGACATTACAATCAGCACCATCCTTTCTAATAGAGTGGATTGTCATTTAGGATACACAAAAAAAATCACCGTAAAAAAGTGAAAGACGAGGTGAGAGTTTATTTGAGAGAAGACTGCAAGACAGTTAGCATATCAGTAGGGTTTAAAGAGAATACTAACAGTGTCCGAGAGTCTCCATTAACTTGCCTATTTGTTGAAAAATTATACCTATGGATACGGACAGCGTCAACATCAGTTCTCATCCACCTGTAATACGTCCATGTCATCCATCTTGTGATCGTGTAGACACATTTGTTAATTGGCCGAACCATTATCACCAGTCTCCTAGTTACGGGTTTTTCTATAGAGGTGTCGGAGATCGTGTCACCTGTAGAGTCACCCTAAAGAATTGGAACTATTTCGACGATATCAAAACGGAACACGTGAGATGGTCGAAGGACTGGCTTTTTCAAAAGATGCGGTTTGTTAGTTAAATTCTATATCACATTCATTAATATCCCAATTTGCAACATTTTCTTTATATGTTAAAACCTTCGTATGATCATAATTGACATCAACACAGAGTTGTTTACAAAGAGAGTTCAAAATATTTTATTGGATCAAATTGTGGAAAAAGCCTATTGGCAAATCCTTAAAACGCTGATGTGTCTGTGTTATGGTTATGCCGTAAAATCTGCGATAACATAACTATTCGTCTGTTCAGGGTGTGAAGAAGGACATGCCAACTAACTCGGTCATAGCTGTATGATGTTTTCAAGTGATGATAGACTGGAATTGTACTTTGACGAAGCATTATCGTCAATAAATCATTTAAAAGTGGAAAAGACCTGGCGCAATATTTCCGCACAATCTTGCATCCCTTCAGAAACATTACAATATCTTATGCAAGTTTTAACTGTAATTTAACTGTAATGTTCACATAATCACCATTGCGCAAACGTTAACCTAGTTAACGTTTGCACTATGGTGAGTATGTGAACATTACAGTACTAAAACAAAGAAAGACGTAATAACCGTCGACTTATAAATATAATGGATTACTTACTAAATTTAGTGTATGCTAACCACATATGACGTGCTATGACAGCTGACGTGGCAGTCGGACTGTTCGATGTTGTGGACGATCTAGAAGTAATCAGAGACTTCATCAAAGAGGTGAACTGTTGTAATATTCCACGCGGTATTCGAAATAACTATTTATCACATGTTTGTCGTGCCGAATGGAAAGAGACTGTGTTGAAAACAGAAACAGACGCCGCTGAGGAGATTGATTTAGATGGAGTAAAGGAATCGGACTTCAGAATCATTTTGGACTCTATATACCTAGGAGAATGCATTTCAGTGACAAACGTTGAAAGTCTGATTTCAACGTGCACATATTTTCAACTGAATAGACTACAGGTGCAATGCGAGATAAAATAATGAATATGGCCAAATCTATGATTCGTTTCGAGAAGTGGCTTATTAAATTGAAATGATACGTGAATAGTTAATTTATATATGTTTTAATGTATATATGTATAAACTGGCCAAATATCAACATCAGTGTAAGTAAGTCTTTATATCAATAATGTATTCTATTTTAATATTTATAGCATGTCACAAAACTATTACAATAATTTTTCATACCATATTTATACGTATGTTTTAAATTCTATTCAAAACGGTTAAATACGTCGAGTGTCCTGCAAGCATTGGATGCGTCTGCCAAATAATCATCGCAATTGTTTTAATCTTACAACAGTTTGTATTAATACCCTTATAATTGCTCCGGTGCATGCAGGACGCTCGAGGTTTTTAACCGATAATTATATTCAATGTCTAGACGATTATAGCTTACAGAAACCAGTCAAACGTTCATTCAAACGAGCACGTGTTGAAGTGTTAGGTCCCTACGAGGAATTTCAAGCCGATCTTGCAGACGTTTCGTCCCTCTCGAAACAGAATGGTGAAATCCGGTTTCTTCTCGTGGTCATAGACGTTTTCAGTCGCTTCCTTTGGGTATAACTTACAAAGACCAAAACGGAAAAAGACGTGTTAAGAGCATTTAGAAAGTTCATTAGTAGGAGTAGAAAGCCGAGGCGTTTATTAAATGGGAAATTAATGAGACAGTTTTGCAAAGACAATGACATTCATTGTTTTACCAGTCACAACTATACCAAGGCTTATGTAGTCGAACGTGTCATTAGAACACTAAAGACAATGGTTTCTAGATATTTCACCTAATACAGAACACATGAATGCATAGATAAATTAGAAAGTTTTGTCAAGAGCTACATCGCCATACCACACACATCGTTAAACGGTTCAGCTCCCAAAGATGTTAACGAATCCTGTACCTCGGATCTAAGAAATAGGGAAAGCAACAGAAAAAGAAAATGCGACAGAAAATGCAGCGATTAAAGCAAGATTCAAATAAAAGATAGGTTGCCTCGTGAGAATTTCACACGTGAAACAACTATCATTTGATCGACTTTATAAACGACGCATTAACAGCCAACTTTTATCAATCGGAATTACAGAGGGTGGATAAAGATGAAGATGCACTATGGTACATCGAGGAAAAACTAAAAAAAACAACGTAAGTGAGGTGGGCAAGTAAAATGTTTTGTTTAATTCGACGGGTGGCCGTCTAAATATAATCAGTCGATAACAGAGAACGACATCAGTGACACCTCAAAAGACAAAGATGTCACATTACGTAGTCATTCACAGCGATAAGAACAGGGAATATTTTACCAGAAAACAAAAGTTACCATTTTCACACCCATTTTCAATCTCCTTTGCACCTTGATGGATATGGAAAGTTGTATTAGAGGACATATCTGTCGCTAGCACAAGACCAAACATAATGTATACGTCAACAACGACAACTGTGGAGACAGTTTCGTCAACGGACAAAAGGACAACACTTTCTCCGAATGGTGCTGGCTTCAATAGTGGCGAATTGGTCACAGTCGTCAAAAAAGACAAAGAACGTATAAAAAAGACAAAGAAAGTATCAAAAAGAAGATCATAAAAAAGAAGAAAATCTAGCTAGGGTGAATGATAATCTGACTTCACAATGGCGGTGATAAACAAGGATTTCTTTCGAGAGGCACAACCGTCAGAATTAGCATTTTTCGATTTACAACTAACACTAACGGCAGAGGAAAACATCTGCTATCAGGACGTGCTACCAATTTCGCAAAACACGAACGACATAACGGATTAGAGCTTCTAGATTTACAAATCAGTCTGATCTATGCAAAAGTAAAAATTATCAAAGCAGATGGAAGCGACATTAGTGATACGGAGGACATAGGACCCATCGATTTGTTACTACCGTCCTTATTTTCACAAATGGACGTTTCTCTTCAAAGGTTACATTAAGAGTCTGTTAAAATACGCAAAAGAAGCAAAAACAGGGAAACGCCAGACTGGAAGTCACCTTCGGTAAGACATTGACGGAGGCTGTGCCCTGCATCATCTATGCCGAATATCATGGTAGTTTCGAAATCAACGCCGCTAGAGACTTCATCATACCATGAATACTGCCCAGTTGCGCTGCGTCGTCCATTGTGATCCTATAATGAGACAAGCAATCAGTGGAGTATATGCACGTAACGAAAGCGACCGTGATGACGTTTTCCCTCAGGATTCATTATAAGTACAGATGTTGAGAGCCTTCCCAGAAAACATTGCGTAGCCTTCTATTGCGAATCAAAAGACGAGCTCGAATTTTTTGACAGTATTTTGCATTTATAGCAAACGCAACAATGATAAACGATTGCAGAGCAACTTCTCTGAGGTATGCGGCCAATAATGTTTGTATTATCAAATCGATGAAGGTGCATATCCATGAGAGACTTAGTGCATAATTTTGGTGACAATAACAACCAAATTGATAATTTTGTATGTAATTCATATCCATACTGTTTCAAAAAACAAAGACGTCATCATTGTTGTCGACCGGAAACAAATATGGAATTATCATGTGAATAGTATTTCATTTGTTTAAAATCTTTTTTTTTTAAAAAGGTGTAAATATTTCATAAACAGCCATGACTGGGTACACTAACAAAAGTCCAGTCTCCGTGCAGAAACAGTCAACCCTTCGAGAAAAGCCATGTGTGAACCTCTCCAAGTTGGCGGACTCAAATGGGTCGACGAATTAGCCTCATTCGATGTCACTAGCTTACCTAAAGATGACGATCTGGGTTATGTGATAGAGGTTGACTTAGAATATCCAGACAGTTTACATGATTTACATTCTGATTATCCTCTTGCACCTGAGAGGAAGAAGTGTCAGATCATGAATTGTCTCCTACATCTAAAAGAACTTTGGTGGGAAATTAACCCACGCACAAAACATACTGATATGAAATTACATGGACGAATCAAAACAGAGAAATTGGTACTAAAATTGGAGAACAAAAACAAAGTGCATATGCCATTATAGAAGTCCACAGTTATATCTAGAACTTTGAATGTAAATAACCAAAATACATCGAATTTTATTATTTAGACAGCTCCCTTGACTGCACCCTGAAATATTATTTAACACTACCAAACGCATGCAATCTAGGAGCGAATTTGAGAAAGTTTTTTTTTAAAACTGATGAACAATGGAAAAAGTGCGCAAGCGCATTGCTGTTAAATTAGCTCACACAGAGATAAAAAAAAAAAAAAAAATACGTGGCGCGATCGTCATTTCAAAGATTTCAAATTTTCAACGAAAACCTCACGGGTATAGAAAATTCTAAACTCAATTTAGTGTTAAACAAACCGGTGTATGTATGTCAAGCCATAAGTAGCTAAAGATATCGCAAAGGCAACAATCAAACACGATCTACTTCATCACATGTACAAATATTGTCTTTTTGGAAAACAAAATAACATATATCAAATGAATTCGATGAGAAGCGAACAATACCTATTGGCAGTATATACCTTAAATCTGGTTTGTCTGCCTTTGACGATGAACGTCGGGTGCTCGATAATGGTCGAGAGGTTTGGCCACTACAGGACGAAAAATAATGATAAAAACTCGTTTTGTTAGATAGATTTAATCATAAGGCAGTTTGATATCAGTGATCACCTTGTAACCATCTATATAGAACACATCAGTTATTATCCTCTTGTGCAAAACAGAAATAGCTTTGTAAATATTATATTTTTAAGATGTACATTTCTCTGTTTATCATGTGACTGTTATCAATGTTATAGATAAATTAATAGATAAGCAAAAAGTATTGTTTTTGTTTTGTATGAGATGATACTAAGTATTTGAGGGAGCAATATGGATGCAGATGCTAGTTGTCTCTACAGCCAGGTGTAACAACATCGACTCCTGAGTGCTGTACAATCCGAGGACAGCCTCAAATTTACAATAACAACGATTTCGTGGCATTAGACTTCCATCCGACCACGAACCTTACGATATTTAAAACCTACAATACTATCAATGCAAAAATGAGTTTCTTTTCCAAAATCTTGATAACTTCTCTTTATTGTTTTTACAACTCTCTTGAATATGAGTGTTCCACATATATCTACCTTATTGGATCCAAATATAATACATATGAAACACAATCCAGTAGCTTAATATGATATGTCCTTAAGTCTTACGTCTCCATTTGAATCTACGACACAACTGACTACGTTTTTGATACATTTTCTACTTTACTAAATATGTCCTAGATGCGTGGCAAAATAAAATACACGAATTCGTGTTAAACAATGCTATTAAAATACTCGGGTAGAGTTGATCAATGTGTATTTCTTATAGTGATTAAACAAGGTCTAAGTAACTGTGATATCTTTTTTTTAAATACTCTGATAGAGTTATTTGATTATCGAATGTTAAAATATTTATTATTATGATTCAATGTGATTGTTTTTGTAATAATACACCATGTCAACATTATATAAAACATCAAATTATTTTTATTGAAAATAATCAAATTACTTTACCGATTCTTTTTTAATCATATTTTTATTTCAGTAATTGAATCGAATTGAATTGAATAGGTTATTATGCAAAATGTCTCACCTTTTATTAGAAATTTTCTAGAAGAATTCTTTTACGTAAAGATGGCGGCCCAAGAACCATTTCACTACATTCAGAATCCTCTATCCCATTTGTATAGTTGATCGGTCGAAGTTTTTCTTGCAGTCTGATTGTTATTTTTCTTTTTTTAGTCAAACTGCTCCAATTGAATCTCAATTTCAATTTTAAAGAGTCTGTTATAAACAATTTCAATTGAGGCTTGAGTAGTACCTTTTTAAATGTTACTAATTCAAATCTCATTTCTCCATCATCTGTATAGACATTTCCCCTCACCTCCACTTCTTCACGTCTCCTTTTTTCTCGATGTAAATATACATTCAATTGTCGATGATTCGTTTCAAATGACACTAAGTAACACTTGGGCTTGAATGTTTTCACTTAGTTCACACTTATTATTAGGAGCCATTGTCTATATTGCTTCAGTCTATTGCCACTTGCTAAAAAAAATGAAATGACTATGATTCAGTATATCTAGTTTTTT